TTATTTGGATTTCTTTGTTTTATATCATTCATTGCTCACCCTTTTAATTCTTTCCAGGCCTAATTATTTTTAAAAATCATCTTTTTATCCCTTTACAACTTGAACTGGCTTTTTTCCGTTTTTTATTTCCTTTGGCAGGGTTGGAAGAAAGAACGTGTAGTAGCCCAGTTTTGGGATGGAAAAATCGTATTAGTCTTGCCACATGATCCAAAGTATGCTATCAGAAAGGTACGGAACATACTCTTTTTTAAATCTTACTCTCCCCCAAATTTCCCAAGAAATAAACCTATGTTAAAAGGTCAAATGCTGTTGCTAATAGAACCCTCTTTGGTTCATGTAAGGATGACCTTAGAAGTTCCTATGAAACAGAACAAAATAACAAGACAAATCCAGGAGTATTCAGTCGTTGAGTAAAGAAAGCATTTAAGACTAGTTTATCATTCGTCTTTATTTTCCATTTGTGAAAGATAAATTTAGTTTCTTAGTGTGAAGAATTTAATGACTCCGAGCCTGTTTCTTATATTGGTGGTGGTTGTACTTGGGTTAGGTGTTTGATTCACCCTGAACAGTGAAGGAACTGTAGCAAAGTTGTTTTGGTGATTTCTACTCTTTATTACACCCAGGATTCGGAATTTCTTTTTGCTGAAAATTATCTCTTTAAACCGATCCTTAAAACTGTTTCCAAAATGGCAGGTACATGCATCAATAGTGAAATAATACGGGACATATACAAATTTAGGAAATACTGATAAAAGAGGCGAACATTATAGTAGTCATAAATTATTTGTATGTAATAACTAATGTGCGTGCATGTGTGTTTTTACACATAAGATGAAAGGGTTTCAGAAAGTTGGTGTGGAATTTTTACTACATTTCAATTCAATTTGTCCATACTTTTTGAAGCGTGTGTGTGTGTATGTAATAATTACATGTAATTTCTGTTGTGTTTTTTAAAAACAACTCACCTCTTGGTCTTTAACATCATTAGGTAGAAGATGTTCAAGAACTTGTCGATAATGAGTTAGGATTCCATCAAGTTATTACCAAATGTCCAAACAAGACCAAAACTTTTCTCTTTATATCTGATGAAAAGAAAGTAGTTGGTTGTTTAATTGCAGAGCCTATCAAACAGGTATGGTATTTTCTTTTACATTATTGACATAATTTTGAGCAAAATTAAGTAGTTGGAGAAGTCACAATATGCATTTAAGACTGCTGCAATTAATTTTTTTCCTACTAAAATATCCTTGACCACATAGATAATTGAAGTAATTTATTTTTATTATGTTGCCCTTTGTAAGTAACTAAGTGAGAGCATCTGATGTGTATTTGCTAATTTTCATATCTGGACTGTAAGATGTAGTTTTAGGTAAGCACATCTTTAGAGCCCAATTATTGACCATGTTGCTTAGTGGCAATTAATACAAAGCTGCATCAAAAAGTTTGTGGGAAAATTCTATGATCTTTTCATTGCATTTGTATGTGAACATTTTTGAAACCTCTTGTATATTTGGCAAAATGGCCATTAATTGCTCCTTAGTTAGAATCGTCTGTATTTTAGTTGCATGATTCCACGCAGTCATTTGGTGGAAGTTACAAAGAGAAGAACCATACTAAGTAATTTTCATTTCACCGCACTGCTCTAATACATCACTGCATGACTGCCAAACCGCTGAGAATCGTGATTCAGCTAAGTTCACACGAATTTGGGGAGGGTGAGCGATGGACACAATTCAATCTGAAAATATGTAAAAAGTGTCTTTAATGTTATCAGATTCTTTAGATCAGCAGTTCTCAACTCGTGGATTGCAACACCTTTGGGGGTCAAATGACCCTTTCACAAGGGTCACCGGATTCATAGCTGTAGCAAAATTTCAGTTAAGAAGTAGCAGCAAAAATAATTTTATGGTTGGGGGAGGGGTCACCACAACATAAACTGTATTAAAGGATCTTGGCATTACTTAGGTTGAGAACCACTGCTATAGATTATTACAAAGGAGTCCTGGTGGATTAGTAGATTGCTAACCACAAGGTCAACTTCAAACCCACCTGCCTTTCCATGTGAGAAAGATGCATATTTCTGTTCCTGTAAAGATTTACAGCGTCAGAAACCTAAAAGGAGGGTCTACTCTGTTCTGTTGGGTTACTATAAGTCAGAATTGACTTAGTAGTGAGTTTAGGTAACACCAAACATTTGGGATGGAGTGAATAGAAGTTCATGTACTGTATTGAAAATTAAAGTCTCACTTTTTTAAATGATAAAGTAGGGAAGTTCCAAAATGGATGGAATGAACTAGAATGTAGTAAAACCCCAGGAGCCCACCTTGGTCTGCTAAGCACAAGGGTAGTGATTCAAAACCCGCTACTCTGAGGGAGAGAGGTAGGGCTTCATACTCCCGTAAAGGTCTTCTGTCTTGAAAGCCCACAGGAGCAGTTCTGTTCTATATGGTCGATATGAATTGGAATGGGCTCAATGGCAGTGAAGTTTGAGTTTGTGCATTCTTTAAGCTTGTGACTATAACAAGACAAGAATTTTAAAAGGTGAACATATTTTTAGTAGAAATAAGATTAATTTTATGTGTGCAAGTTTTGTTTAAGGAATGCTTTTTAAAAGAAATGTGAATTTATTTGTGCTGTTACTTATAAATACTTCTGTATGCTTGTAGGCTTTTCGTGTCCTATCTGAACCAAGCGACCCAGAATCCTCAACCTCTAAAGAATGTCACAGGGCTTGGCAGTGTTCAGACATACCACAACCTGCAGTCTGTGGGATTAGTAGAATCTGGGTCTTCAGGCTGAAGCGAAGAAAGCGCATTGCAAGACGATTAGTTGATACTCTCAGGTAAAACATAAAATAGATTTAAACCCATGTTTCCTTTCCTAGAACCTCACCCAGATTATAAGGCTGTAGGAAGTGATGATGGGAACAGATAGATCCATGTAAATACCATTAAAGTCAAGCTAAATAAATATTGTCGCTGGAAAATAAAAATACTAGATATGTTGGCCCTAGGGTGCAACATTCCAAGTCTGAAACAGTACTTTCCAAACTACTGATAGTGAAGGATTATTCAAATGACACCAACATTTCACAAAATAAGAATGACGTATTAGAACTAAGCAAAAAATAGAAAATATAAGTCAAATTTTTATTACATTCAACAAAGTTTAAAATTCATTAAGTAAAATCAAATCAAAATGTTTAAAAAGGTGTTACAGAAAATGTATACATGTTCATTGATAGTGTGTGACTAGATAATTAAACGACTTGCTATAATTCATAACTCTTCCTCATATTTAATTAACAAAAATAAGCATGATAACCCACATAATGGGAGGAGATATTTACAAATCATTTATCTAGTAAGTGCTGGGCATATATAAAGAACTATAACACAACAGTAAATAGACATAATCCAGTTTAAAAACGGGCATATAATTTGATCAACATTTATTCATGGGAGATATTTAAATGATCAACAAGCACATGAAAAGATAGTATTATTAGCACCATTATACGGGTAGCCCCCCTCTCCCCCCAAAAAGCAGGAAAAATACTGTTAGGCAGAGCTTTCATCAGATGCATTTTTCCTGCTAGGTAAGCATCCAGGAACTCACTCTGAGTTAGTTCACCCAGTGGCATTGCCTGGGAAGGTTCTCTCTGCTCACAGTGAATTTTTTCCAAAAAGCAGTTTCATTTGAACCTCGTTTTTTACGATGGCCAAATTAAGAAAACAGCATGTGACTGAAATTTTGTTTCTTGGGGAATATGCCACAGAAACCGTTGCGATGGTGAACACAAGGAAAGTGCGATGGGAAAAACTCAAGTGTGCCAATGTTTTTCTCGATTCTAAAAAGATGAAATGTCGATGATAAACCTCATTCTGGATGTCCGTCAACTTCCTGAATGGACGAAAATGTTGACGTGTAGGGCATTTGGAGTTCACTCCACCACAACCTCTATTTAGAGGTTCTGAAAATAATGCATAACGGTGTGCCAGCAAAAAGGCCTGATTTGTGGTAGACGGGACTGGTTTTGCCACCACGACATCTCAGTGCAATCATTTTTAGGGTTTTTGCGGGGCAAAAAATGCATGCCTCTCTTGCGCCATGTACCTTACTCAGCTGACCTTGCTCTGCGCAACTGCTTTGTTTCTGCAAATGAAGGGGGAGATGGCAGCAATTTGATGATGTAGAAGTGAAGAAAAAAATGAGGCGCTGTCAGCGATCTAAACAGATGAGTTTGAAAAATATTTCCAAGAATGGAATCGCAGATTTGACAAATGTATTTGTGTAATGGAGAGTACTTTGAAGGTGATAAGGTTGTTTTGTAAAAAAAAAATTAAACACATAGCCTTGGTGGAAAAAAAAATTCCGTTTTTGGGGAGTTACGTCGTGTATATCAGAGTGGCAACTCAAAAACATAGTCGCTATGAGTCAGCATTGACTCGATGGCAGTGAATGTTTGTGTGCTACACATAACGCTAGCCCACAAGCCAAACCCACTGCCATTGAGTCTATCCCAACTCCTAGTGACCTGATAGGAACGAGTAGAATGACCCCATCAGGTTTCCAAGGCTGTGAGTCGTTAAGGACGGCCACATCTTTCTTTTGTAGGGCTGTGCAAATCTGTAGATCTTTTGGTTAGCAGCTGGTGCTTATCCACTGTTCTACCAAGGTTCCTGCATACGCACACACTAAACTGTCTATAGTCTAAGAAAATAACAAATGTTGTCAAGGATCTGGAGAAAATAGAAATTCTATACATTGCTAGTGGAAATATAAAATGGTTCGGCCACTGTCAGGACAATCAGGTAGGTCATCAAAAAGTTCAACACTGACAATGTAAGTCAGCACTATAATAGGTCACGTGGAGATTTTTTAAGTGGGGAGGCGGGGTGGCAGCAAAGGCAGTGAGAACATTCTAGAATCACTTAGTGGTAATGCTTGCACATTGTGATTCTGCTAAGCCACCAAGTTACACATTTCCTACTTTATACTCCTATGCTGATACTTGAACTAGCACCATTAACTGATATTTAAAGATTCTAATGTGAAAACACATTTGTTACTTGACTGTTGGTTTACTATCTCTAAATCTGATGTATGAGCTTCAAAAGAATTGCTCTGGACAGCATGCAAATCAGTGCCAGTCCAAGAGTCATCCTCTGAGGAGCACTCATCTAGCCTTGAATAAACACCAAGATTAGTCATGGGCTATAATTCCTGTCATTCACATGTAACTTAAAAAGAGGATTGTTGTAGGGTGGAACAAGAACATAACAGACCACCAATGGGATCAATCACAAAGCCCCTGAGGACTCCTGAAAATAGACTTCAGAGGAGGAACAGTGCCCGAAGCCCTGCTAGACTAGGGGGGACATAATCATAAAGGTCAGCGGACAGACCTGGAGCTACGTAGAGCGTTTTTGTTTGTTTCTTATTGCTGCTGTTGTTGGTTGGTTGGTGTTTTCTCTTTACTGTATCTCTTTTGTTAGGGGATGTGGGGGGTGAGAAAACAAAGTCATGGACAGGGGAACAACTAGGCATCTAAAGTCAACAGTGAGGGGGGCGTAGAGTTCCTGTTACTGATGGAGTAGCCAAAATCCAGCCGGGAGAAATTACTGAGAGGCAAATGAGGGATAAACATGATAGTGGAACAGGAGGAAGGTAAAAGGAAAGAGAACTAGGAAACAAAACTATTAACAGGTATAAACATAAAGGTGTATATATTATGCATAAAAGTAGGGATATTGGCTTATGTACATATATTTATATGACAATACATTTGAGACAGTCGACAGACTCTGGGCCTCTACTTAAGTTTTCACTCAACACAAGAATACTTTGTTGTAGTAATGTGGCACTAAGCGATGCCCACCACCCCAACACAATCACTGAAGACAAAACTGGGTGCATAAGCAAATGTGAAGAAAGCAGATGGTGCCCGGCTATTGGAAGATATAGTCTGGGGGGGTCTTAAAAGCTTGAAGCCAAAGAAGTGCCCATCTAACAGGGAAGCAACAAAGCCCACATGGAGGGAAGCACACCAGCCTGTGTGATCATGAGGTTTCAACAGGAACAGGTATCAGATCAAAAATAACCTCATCAAGGTGACGGAGATTGTTTAAGGTGGAGACCCAGAGCCCATCCATAGATAATTTGGATGTTCATGTGCTGAGGGAGGAAAAAAATGCATCAGAGGGGAAGTTTAGCATGAACAAAACACAACACTCTTCTGGTTCTTTAATCCTTCACCCCACTATTAGGATCGAAGCCTATTCGCAAATCCCACTAGATCAGTGTATCTACTGAGGCATAGAGCTTTCGGTATATGGAATTCAGGAATGACAAATCCCCTCAGAATCAGTAGTGGGGGTAATGATTCCTGGAAGGGAAGGGGGTGTCAGAGGAAATGGGTGGCAGAATAACACCCCTTGAGGGGGACGAATATCAGCGAAGTAGTGAAGTGGGCAGTGTAGCATATGTATGAATAATACATTAAGGGGTGGCGAAGTAGGGAGGGAAAAAAATTGATATCAAATGGCTCAAGAAGAAAGGTAATGTTTAGGAATGTTTAACAATTGTACATGTCTGCATGATATAATTGGTGTATCGGTTGTTATAATATTTGTAAGAGTACCCAATAAAATGATTTATTTTAAAACGGGGAAGGATTGAGAGAAATGTGTCCATAAAAATCTATGGGTTTAAAAAAAAAATCTGTGGGTTTGATTAGCAATGTTACCTCATATTTGTGGTTCACTACTGTGAACTACCTATAGTCAGATATATGGTTAGTGTAGTTAGTTGCCTCTCTGCCTTCCCCAAACTTTTCTGGACTTTAGTTTCTTCATCTGTAAAATGATTACCACTGTCTCTAATAGGGCATATGAATCACTCTCATGTATTATAATTAGTATTAAAGAGAAAAAAATCTGGATTGCCTTAAAATAAAGTTTGCTAATAATGTTTAAGGAAATCTTGTAGCATACTGGTTATGTGTTGGGCAGCTAACCACAAGGTTAGGGTGTTAATCCTGTCAGTAACTCTAGGGGAGCACAAACAATCCTGTTCCCACAAAGAATGACAGGCTCAGAATCCCACGGGGGCAATTCTATGGCCTATAGAGTTGCTATGATTCGGAATCAACTCCCATCAATGGCAGTGTAAGTAAATAAAATATTTAATCAGAATTTTAAGTTGGCTCAATTGTTTAAGTCATTTTTTCCCCTGTTTTTTAGGAATTGCTTCACGTTTGGCTGTTTTCTCCGCACTGATGAAATTGCATTTTCTGACCCTACTCCAGATGGCAAATTATTTGCAACCAAGTACTGCAACACCCCTAATTTCCTTGTGTACAATTTTAATAGCTAAGGTCAACTCCCATATGAAAGTGATTGTGTGGATTAGTACAGACAGCCCTTTATCACACAATGGGAACCATTTAAACAATATTAAAGCAGAATACTAACACATACCACCCTCCTTGAGATATGAATTGGGAAGTCACATTTGTCAAAAATTATCTGGAGATGCAAAGAAAGGAAAAGTACCAGATGTTATTATGTATACTGGTAAGCAGCCTGAGCCCTTAATTATGAAATTTAGTAGCTATAACAGGAAAATTTTACTTGTTCCTTGAAAAACAGCTGTCTCCTACTTCAATGTGACCACTTATGTTTTATAAAGTACACTTTGAACGAGGAATATCATGCTGCCCAAGTCATAAAGCCAGATTTAAACCCAGACATATTTTTCATAGCCCAGATTTAATAGTAATTCCTGAATATTATATATAAAATTCTTGCTTTCATTTGGCTGCAGGAACTCAATTTGAATATATTTTTAGAAAGTGTTTTGTAATAAGTGAGAGATACCTATGTCCTTTGTGTAGAATTTTATAGTTCAATGTTTGAATCTCTTTACAAATCAAATAGCTACATGCACAGTCATCAAGTTTAATTAAAATTAAAACCTAGTAATTGCACTATTGTCATTTCATTAAATTCTATTCTGTGAAAATGAAAATGCTAGTTGGGCTAATTTAGTGAACCTGTTAACTAGTAATTTGTGCCATTAGCAAAATGGGTTATATGATTTGATTCTTTGCTTATTTTAAATAACATCTTGTTTTTAAACACATGGCAAAATTCCTGACAAAATGTATAGTTAATAGAATCCAAATTAATATATCTTCACCCCAGGCCAGAGATTACGATGATACTATGTAATCTAAATATGCACACATCTTCCCTACTAATACTTCAAAAAGAATAATTCAGGTTGTTTGGATTCTAAAGAAATCACTGATACCTGGAAATGAAACTATAAAAAATTAGTTCAGTTCTGTTTTCAAGGTTCTAACTGTATAGAATCTAAAACTCTTTGCTTTTAAATGAACATGGATTCAAAATGTAAAAGTTGTTTTGAAAAAGTATATGGAAAAGTTCAAATGTGTGCTTTTAAATGCACATTTTAATATTTTCTGCGTTGCTGCTTGTTTAAACTATTTTATTTTAAAATTATTAACATTATTTTGCCCAATGCATTTCTGATTAAGCAATTAAAGTTCTTTTCAATGTTCTATTTGTTTTTTTCTAGTACAGAAAACCCATTTTCTTTTTGAGTTTTTGTGGTCATTCAAAGACTGGTACATGCACTTTTCAAACATTCAGATCATAGAGAAACAGAGACTGCCACAAGGAGCTTCCCATGGATATGGTTGTATGTTACTTTGGGTTAGCTAAACAAAATTTTCCAACATGCTTCACACTTCACTGTCTTAGACGTACTTTTTTTTTTTTTTTTAATGTTAAGTGCTGTTGGATTGGTTCCAGCTCATAGCAATCCTCTGTACAATAGAACATGTCCTGTACCATCTTCACAGTGGTTGCCACATTTGAGCCCATAGTTACAACTATTTACATTGGTAACTCATTCCATAAGTCGATGCCAATTCACAGGGACTAGCTAAGACACAGGTTAGAATTGGCCTGTGAGTTTCTTAAATTGACTTTACACCTCGAGACTGGTCCCTCCTAATAACACGTCCAAGAATGTGAGAAGTCTGGCCACTCTTGCTTCAACGGAGCAGATTTGGGACCGACTTGATGGCACCCAACAACAGTCCACACTGAAGGGGAAAAGCATGCTGGGTTGTTTTATAATGACTGTCAGGCACCAGTGTTGTGAATTTGCTGGCCATATTTTAGGGTATTGGTTTGTTTTCATTTGGTATTCTAATGATAGGAAATAAACGCAAATTTAATAAAAACTAGTTTTAAGTATGACAAGAAGGTCCCAATCCATGCTTTTGACAAGCAAGACGTGCTATTTCTGCTAGGAAGAGAATGGGCCTGGAGAAATTTCCTGTAGCTTAGCAAACAATATGAATGACATACATCCGATAATAAAAATCATCTGCACTTAAACCTTCTGGTGATCTCTGGAACACCTATATGGCAAATTTTTTTAAAAGATTGTCTACATCAAGTCTGGGCAAACCCCCTACATGTCACAGGCATAATTCAGTAACCAAAATTAATGATCCAATCAACCCCATTCAAATGAACAAAACGAAGCTACAGAGGAAAAGAAGCCTCATTTAATAAGTTTAATGATAACACCCAAAGTTCAGTTTCTTAAATAATGCAGAGATACTTTCTGGTACTTAAAGTATCCTTTATAATATTGTTCCATTTGAGTGCGCTTTTTATATTTAAGGCATGAAATGCTTAGCATTCAAATTAGTAAACAAAAAATTTCAGAATAGAAAATAAGATTTAATATGCTAAAGTAAAAGCCAGATTGGAGGTCATCCAAGTGGAAGAACTAAACTTGCTCTTGGGCAACAACAAAAGATCTAGCAATACCCAGGGAGCTACTGCACTGAGCCATATTCTCTAGGCTCTAAGATTCTAGGGACCATATTTAATAAGCACATCAAGAAAGGCCAGCAAAAGGCTAAGTGTTTTCAAATTAGTAAACATACTTATTTTGCACTGTAGTGTACCATTTTCACAAATCCATTTAAATGCATAGTACTGTATATACTCGTGTATAAGTTGAGTTTTTCAGCACATTTCTAACCGTTTTTGTGGTAAAATTAGGTGCCTCAGCTGATATTCTGGCCAGCTTATACTCGAGTATATAGTATTTGAGAAAGATTATTAGTAAAACTAATGGTCATATCTGAATTGTTAGACATAACAGTATTTGATTATCTAGTTTCTTAAATTCACAATCTGTCTCAAATTACAATCTCAAGTACTCACTACCATAGGTATTTTTAAAATACCCTAATATTAGAAATGGTTAATCAAATGTTAGCAAAGTGCTATAGACTTAAAATAGGCCACTTTCAAAGAGTAATAATTACAGGTTATCAGAGCAACTACACAAATGTGTTATAGTAAACAAAACAGTTATATACACAGCCCTGCTTTATGCTGAGGTCATCATGAAAACAAAGCAATCACTAAATATTCATTTCCAAAGCGTCAACTATGTGTGCTGCCGAAGGACGATCTTTGGGATCTTCATTAGTGCACACAGAGAAGAGTTCGATCACTTTGTGGTACGATTCATCCAGCTCTTCCATATTAATAGGTGGCCTAGTTCCCAAGGCTGCATAGTACGCTTCATCATCAAAGTCACTTTCATCAAATGTTTTATCTGTTCACGAGGAGTTGGAGATGGAAACAATAAACAAAATCACTTAAGTCATGGTGTCTACTCAGACTCAAACTCCTAAAACTATACTGTTTAGTAAGCTTTCCTTTAGACCTTAAGCACCGCCCTGTCATCAGCACAGATCACCTATTGCCTTTGATATTTAGGTTTTCCTACCCACTTCCTCACAACTTTCCCCTCTGTTCGCAGGCAAAAGGGTTTTTTACAAGAGGTTTTGCTCTTCTCAATAGCTATCTCATTTGTATGAAATTACGCCTGGATGGTCATCAATGTTAATATAATCTATATACTAGAAACTGTCACTAAGTCAAGCAGTTTGCTCTTTAAATTTTAACTTAATGGGAAGATAACATGCCAAACAGTTGTGTATAAGCCGAGTTTTTCAGCACACTTTTAATGCACTTTTTGTGGTAAAATTAGGTGCCTTGGCTGATATTTGGGTCTGTTTATACTTGAGTAATTTTATAAGTGAATCTTCAATTTTAAGTTTTTATTGTGAATTAGGTGAAAATTTACAGTCAACAATTTTTACTTCGTTTCAGCACATCCATTACAGTCCCCTTAATGTACCATTGCTTATCACACTGTCTGTTTCCATTTCTCCTTGCCTAGCACGCTGAACTTAGCCATTTGGTAACACTGCCCCTTTTATCATACATGGTCGATTATTCTATCACAGGGCGAATTCACTTCCAGACCTGAGGTGGCTAAGGGCCATCGTCTCAGAGATTCCACCAGTCACTAGCTGACCAGAAAGCCTAGTCTCTTAAGACATTGGATTTCAAATACAGATAGTCATACCTTCATCATCATCAATATCTGAAAGATTAACATGTGGAATAGATAAGGTCATCATTTCCCAGAGAGTAAGCCCAAAGGCAAATATGTCTGCTTTATCGGTAATAATCCCATTCTCCTCCAAAGTTTCCTTGGGTTTCCATGGCTCAGTGCCAATATAACAGGCCTCAGGGTCAGTCACTGAAACAGGTAAATATAAATAAAATGCTCATAAGAATAGGAAGTATGAATTGAGAAATGGCAATGAAAAGGAGAACAGGCAAATAATCTGAACAGACTAAATGTAGGCAATAAACGTGAAGTGTACACAACCTCACGGATAGGAATTGTTTTCCCTTATCACACTGGTAAATATTCAAAATAGTAGTTAATTAGCATGGATGTAGAGAAACAGGAATTCTCTTAGAAAAGGGGTAAGAACAGAAATAGAATATGAATGTTATGAACACAGCCTCTGGAACCAGAGTGCCTAGATTTAAGATATTTGCAAGCTGTGTGACCGTGAACAGTATCTTCATTTCTTTTTAAGTGCCATGTCATCAGCTCAGGGAAGCGCCATCTCTATGCTTCCATAATTGCCTAGTCAGTGGAAAGGGGAAAATGACATGTGCTTCGAACTTCAGCCTTGGAGTGGCATAGGTCCATTTTATTTATTTTTTATCACTCTTTTTTGGTTTGTTTTGTTGTTGTTTTTTGTGTGTTATTGTTTGAAGTGAACTTGTTTGTTGCAAGACTCCAAGCCCATTTCAGTTTCACTTTCCTCTTCTTTTCTATAAGCCGCTCACCACTGTTTGAGGGCTAAGGAGTCAGGAGGGGGGATAGGTCCATTTTAGAGTCAACAGTTTCATGAAGGCTCTGCTAGAACAGCGGTTCTCAACCTGTGGGTCGCGACCCCTTTGGGGGTCAAACGACCCTTTCACAGGAGTCACCTGATTCACAACAGTAGTGAATTTACAGATAAGTGGCAATGAAAATACTTTTATGGTTGGGGGCAGTCACAACATGAGGAACTGTATGAAAGGGTCTCGGCATGAGGAAGGTTGAGACCCCTGTGCTAGAATTTTAGCATTCTAAAAATATCCAGTCCACAATCAAGATATATCTTCCCATTTACTAAGATCTTATTGTAATTCTTTCAATGATGTGTTATTTTTCAGTATAGAGGATCTATCCTTGAGTATTTCATGTTTTCTTGGCACTTGTAAATAGAATTTTTAATTATTGGCTGCTGGTATATAGAAAAACAGTAACTAATTTCACATCATTATCCAAGTGGTTGTTTCCTAGTTTCATTGGAATTTTCTACCTAAGCATCACATCAACTGTCAATCAGGGCAGTTTTATTTTCTTTCCAATCTTAACACCATATGTGTATGTATGTTCCTTTATTATATGTTAATGGCTAGAACTCTAAGACAATGTTAAATAACACTGGAAAGAACTATATTTGTATATTCTGCTTTGGAATCATGTGAATTCATTACTTGTTCAGCCCTCCCCCACAGAAGAAAAAGAAAGCTGTAAGAATTAGAAAATGTTAAATTTCTGTTAAAAAAAATTTTAGACTACTACTTACCAGTCATATTTTCATCTAATGGTAGAGACACTCCTACATCACAGATTTTAATAGTTTCAAAATCACCTTTAATGACAACATTTGAAGATTTTATGTCCCCATGAAGCAATTTCTTTTCTTGGTGCAGATACTAAAACAGTAAAAAATTTTAACACATATGAATAGCAATACATCGAGTCTCCTCTTTCTCCCATGAAATGGCTGATGGATTTAAATGTATAACCTTGCAGTTAGTACAATGCCTAACTTACAGGAGCACCAGGCTTATATTCACAAATTATTCATACAGTCACCTCCACTTACTGTACTTGCAGCTTTTACTTCATTAAAAAAAAGGTTTAGTGCAAAAGGCTTCAAACCTTTTCTTGCACTAAAGTAACTCACAGTGACCCTAAACTTAACCGACGTGTTCTACTTAACCTACAAATTCTTAAAGACACAGGCATAGCTCTCACCTGTACCCTTTAGTTTTTTAGTTTAGTTTCTTATTTCTTTTCTAGTTTTTTCTTCACATTTAGTTTCTTCACATTTCACAATGTCATTTAAAATACAGTGGCAGAGTTAGTTACCTTTAGCCCCCTTGCCATGTTCAGAGCAACTTTTAAAATTATGTCAGCTGGAAAAGGATCTTGGCTGTTTTCATTCCGTTCTTCTATTAAATCATTTAGAGACTTTTCACCTCCATATTCCATGGCAAGACATAGACTACCATCACTGGCTTGAGTGAATGCACGATAACCTTTAAGAAAAAGGGACACTATCTTACTAGAATCAGAAGAACAATAGGCTTGAGGTTCTTTACAGTAAAGTGATCGAAGAGATATTAAGAATCCTTTGCCAAAAACTCACTATCAAATGGATTCCAATTCATAGCACTCTTTAGGACAGAGTGTAACTACTCCTTTAAGAGTTTCTAACCTGAAATCTTTACTGGAGCAGAAGCCTCATCTGGGAGCTGGTGGGTTTGAACCACCAACTTTAGAGATAGCAGCCCCATGCTTGACTCATTGTACCACCAGGGCTCCTTAAAGAATATGTAGAGGTGATTTTAAAAATGTGTAGAAAAATTATCTTTTTAATTCATTTTTAATGAACTGTTTGAACTCCCTCATAACTGATCCAACACTGACAGTGAAATAGTTTTTACTTAAAATTCGAAAATTTACTATGGTGATGTGGTACAACTCTTCCTTAATATAACTGCACTATTAAAATATATGATATGTGAATTATTTGCCAATAAAACTGTTAAAACACAAAATTCAGATCAATTTTAAAATGCCTTCAATGTTTACAAATACAATCTTTTTAATACTCTGCCTCTCTGAAAACCAGTTTCACCGGCTCTACTGTATGAAAAATGCACAATGAAAACCTTAAGTTAGCTAAATGAAGATCATTTTATATTCCTGAATTTTTCACAGCTCCAGTACCATTACAACCGTGTCTATTCCCACCAAGTTTAAGTATATAAGTATACGTCTAAAGATGTATACCAACTTCTGTTTCTCACACTTCATTTTCATTAGTAAAACCAACTGAGATTATACAAACTTTCTGGATTAACAGTAGGAATATGCCAGCCATCACCACCACCATATAAAATGTAGACTTACCTACAATGTTTGGATGATGAAGGTTTTTCAAAATCTTAGCTTCGTCGGTTAGTCTCTTTTGATACATACTCTGATACTGATCAGTACATTTAGAATTAATCTTTTTCACAGCCCATGGAGAACGAGACAAACCTCTTGGAGACCTAAAGCAAAAACTGAATCAAAACGTGCATAGAAAAGGGAGGAGGAACAAGATGATAAAGTGAGTGAAGCTGCCATTTATGTACTCCTCCAGGAACTAACAGGCTCAACAAGAAAGAAGAACAGGCACAGACAGCTCCAAGAAGTCAGGACGGCAGCTGAGGTGTTGGAAAGGGGGAGTGAGTGCGGCGCGAGGTAAAGAGCTGTTCAGGGATCTAGGAGCCAATCTTATGAAGCTATACCCTGATTTTTGTTAAGGTGACCCAAACTGCGGGTACGCGAGGGTCACATGTCATTTCTACCTAAAGAGATCTACAGATTCAATGCAATCCTGATACAAATCCCAGCAACATTCTTTACTGAAATGGAAAAACTAATCAACAACTTCGTATGGAAAGAAAAGAAATCACAAATACCCAAAGAAATAATGCAGAAAGTGACTAACACAGGAGGGTACACACTCTTCTACCTCAAAACATTCTATACAGACACTGTAACAAGACAGTCTGGCATTATTAGTTCCATGATAGGCACAAAGCCCCGTAGAACAAAACTGAGAATTCAAAAGTAAACCCAGTCATCTGGACAACTGATTTTCAAGAAGAGTCCAAAATCAGTTCAATGGGAAAATCTCTTTAAATAAATGATGCTGCAAAGAACAAAAAAATCATATCATTGTGTGCTCACCTCCCTGATATCATCACTGAAGACAAATGGGTGCATAAGCAAATGTGGCAAAGAAAGCTGATGGTGCCTGGCTATCAAAAGATATATAGTCTGGGGTCTTAAAGGCTTGAAGGTAAACAAGCGGCCATCTAGCTCAGAAGCAACAAAGCCCACATGGAAGAAGCACACCAGCCTGTGCAATCACGAGGTGTCGAAGGGATCAGGTATCAGAACAAAAAATCTTACCATAGTGAATGAGTGGGGGAGTGCAGAGTAGAGACACAAAGCCCATTAGTAGGCCACTGGAGATCCCCTTGCAGAGGGGTCTCGGGGAGGAGATGAGCCAATCAGGTTGCGATGTAGCAACGATGAAAAATACAACTTTCTTCTAGTTCCTAAATGCTTCCCTATGGGAAACAAGAATGTCTCTCAAGCTGTCTCCCCCAAATGTATGCTAGACTTAGCTGCTTGAGAATGACTATACACTTGGAGGTCATTCTCCCTAAGAGCTATCAGCCATCTAGACCAAGCAGACACCACTGTTTATCCCACAAGTAGGGCCCACTCCCTTCTGATAAGGATAGTAGTTGTCTGTTTCCTTGTAGGAGACACCAGAGAGGTCAAACCACCCAAGAATGACCAAGGTTAGGCTGCCATCACAAATCTAGGGTCCGCCCATCTTTTCACATGTATACCCCTAGACCTTCCCATTCCTATGGGCACACCCCTAGCTCATCCCCTTCCTGTTACACTTATACCTATCATAGATCCCCCTTCCTACAATGTGTATGCCTATTGTACTGCCCTTTCCTGTGACGTGTGGTTACCTGTAATCATGTGCCCCTAAAGAGATATAATGCTTGGTTTAGCAATAAAGAAAAAGCTCTCCCTGGCTCTCGCCCTGAGCCTCTCTCCTGCTCTCGTTGCGGGGCTCCCCCCACGTGGACCATCAAGCGGGGCTGAGGTGAGCAACGCTACCATGAATTATGTCTGACTCCATTCATTCAATCTCTCCTCTATCTCTCATGCTCTCTATGACTTAGAGGAGAGATTGAATGAATGGAGTCATGCTCTCTATGGCTTTACTATAATCTTTACTTATTGTCACTGTACAATTGTGCCTACAGGACCGGTGATGATTTGTGGGGGACGCCCCCTTAACCCCACACTTCCCCCCCACCATCATGATCCAAATTCTACCTTGAAAGTCTGGCTAGACCAGAGGATGTACACTAGTACAGATAGGAACTGGAAACACAGGGAATCCAGGGCGGATGATCCCTTCACGACTAGTGGTGTGAGTGGCGATACTGGGCGCGTAGAAGGAGAGTGGGTTGGAAAGGGGGAACCGATTACAAGGATCTACATGTGACCTCCTCCCTGGGGGACAGACAACAGAAAAGTGGGTGAAGGGAGATGTCGGACAGGGCAAGATGTGACAAAATAATTTATAAATTACCAAGGGCTCATGAGGGAGAGGGGAGCAGGGAGGGAGGGGACAAATGAGGACCTGATGCCAGGGGCTTAGGTGGAGAGCAAATGTTCTGAGAATGATGAGGGCAATGAATGTACAACTGTGCTTTACACAATTGATGTATGTATGCTTTGTGATAGTGTTGTATGAGCCCCCAATAAAACAATTAAAAAAAAAGAAATTAAAAATAAATAAAAATGCTGACAAAATTGGATATCCACCTGCAGTTCATATTAGGGTTTATCTCATTGGGGTCACCCTCTTGAAGTTGTGGTTATATGTTTTTCTGTATATGAAATCCAGGGTTGATGAACCTATGGAAGACAGCAAGTAGAAAAAGGGTTTTGGAAGAGGTGGGGACACTGTGGGGAGGGGGAGGGGTGGTGAAAATGGATATGATGCTAAAGTTCCAGGAAGGGAAAGAAACTGATTGTAGTAGCAATTGTACAACACTGCTTGATGTAACCGAACATGCAACATATATTTATTAACTCCCAATTTTTAAAACTACATTGAAAAGAAAAAAAACGACACATGGTGATAAGTGTAACTAGAAATGTCACCTAGCAGTGTGTATGGGAACTGTCAAATGAGAACCTAACTATATGAACTCTCACCAAAAACTTGGTAAAATTGTAGGTAAAAAACAAGCACATAGAAAATAGTAAAAACCATTGCACATTTTCAAAGAATTTCTAAATTTTGAAAAAGGACTTGATAGAAACTTATTTTAATAAGCAATATTTAGGCTGTTATCACTGCTCCTTTCTATGTTTCCTTTTCAATTGGAAACTATGTTTCTGATACACAGAGAGATGTTTGCTCTGTAGACACTGAAGGGGGCCTACAGAAAGACAACTAGGGTAAGTACGGAATTTTAAACTTGAACATCACTGTACTGTTTTCTCCTTTCTCCAGTCAAACATATCAAACTACCAACTATTTATCAAACGTTTAACCATACTTAACTAACTAGATGAGTTATGGTATGATGAGTATACAGTAATCTCAAAGAAGCGTAATTTAAGGAAGATACATAAAAACCATTTGGCCCGCATATATAATCACCCAAAGAATAAATTAGTGCTCTTCATTAACAAATGTTTTAACACTGCACTAATTAATCTTTTTACCTTTAAACCACCTGACCAATATATACATTTAAGCTAGAGGTAATAATAAACATACAAATGAGAATATAAATTATATATTTCTTGAGAAGACCTAGCCATTTGATGAATATTGATGGTGTTTTGAGGCCTACATACCCACGTGAAACAAAGTAGGGAAAGGTGTATGTATCTGTTACAACAGCCAGATCAAGATACAAACATTTCTAGCACCCTAAAAGACTGGGGATGCTATTTTTAAAAAGGAAGACTGACTGAAAAAACGGTAAGACAAAAATGAATAATTCATTATAAAGGTTAGAAGATAAAGTTGGGGAAATGTCCCAGAAAATGGTACAGCAGGAAGAAAACAGGAAAAGAAGACCAACCACCAAGAGGTAAATCTGAGACTCAGCCCGGGAAGTTCAACATCTAAGTAAGAGAAACGCCTAATGAAGAACTGCGAAAACTAGAGCGGGGAAATGATCAACACGATCACTTAAAAGATAATTCCTCAGAAACTAAGAACAGGAATTTTTACATTCAAAGTGGTTCACATTAACATGTCACTGAAAATTTAGCACAATGGAGACCAACGATATCATACAAGGTGCTAGGATGGTGGGAGAGGCAGAAACACAACTCAGATCACATGAAACAGCAAACAGAAAGGCCTCAGATTTCTCATTAGCAACACTTCACAGCAGTTCTTAAGATTCCGGAGGACAACTGCATCCCAAAGAAAACTCTAATCCCCAAATTTAAAAACTGACCAAATGAAAACATTTTTAGAAATTGAAATACCAAAAAAAAAAAAAATGCATCTCCTGTGTATCTTTTCATGGAAGCCAACTGGATGCCCTCAACCAAAACAAGATGTAAACCAAAAAAGATACAGAAAAATAGGACCAACTTTAGCAGAGAAGCAAAGGGATCTTATTAGCAAAGGATATTACAGCTCAATAAGACTAAATTGCATGGAATAACAAGAGTTAGACAGGGACAGCTATTTTTCAATGTCAGATGAAACTTTCTCACTAAGTTATATGTGGTATAACTTTGTTAACAATACAATTTATATATATAGTTGTTTTAAATTAAAAGAGAAAAACGAGGTTAACCATGAAAATGAGAACTTTTTCTTTCAAAACAACAAAAGCACAAAAAAATGTTAAACAAAATTGATAAGAAACCAACACATAAAGTAGGGATTTAAACTACATAAATGCTTGAGGAATTCCCACTTACTATATAATTTCAATACTGTGCTTAATTTAGTAGCCTCTTATTAAAGAAAGCATTTCTATTTGGAAACAATATAAACCGAAATCAAGCTAATATGCAGAGTTGGACTTTCTAGATGGATTCCAAGAGTACATTGTGAACATACACTAACTTAATTAACTTAATTTTAAAAACAAAAAGTTTGCTGACAGCTACTTTATGAGCTACTAGTACCATAACTGTTCAATTATTTATCTCTTAGCACTATTTTCATTTTACTTTTTTTTCTTTTTTTCTTTTTAACATCAATGCCACAAGAAACAAAAACCTGTTAAATGAGAATGACCTCACAACTGGGAACTCTCCAGACAGAAGTGATAGCAGTCACTGACATTCATTCCCCAACAATCCTACCACTGTGAGGTTTTTCTTATGGAGAAGTCTGTGTTATCCCATTCAGAACACCCCCCACCCACGCCACACACACACTTCCTCTTCTCATTCAAGCCCAGGAAAAAGGATAAGGTAATCATTCCCTTTTAGTAGTCCAGCTGGAGGAATGGATGCCAGCAAATGATCTGCACAGGTTATTAAGGCTCTGAGATAGGGTAGGTAAGATTCACAGCTACATAGGTCTTAATATTCCTTTTTGTCTTCAAGTACAGTGGAAGTATGGATCCATGTAGAAAGATTAACCTGAAATCCTATACTCACCTTTTCATTAGGTAAACATTTACACCAGTACCAAAACCAAGCTTCTGCATAAATGGAGAGGCAGGAATATTTACACTTGGAGTTGAACACAGCACTAAATGTCAGAAAGAGAAATAAAAATAAAATTAGCATTCAAAAGGGCCTCTACAAAAGCATCCTACCATTGTTAATATCCGATTATTGGATGTAATCTTTTTGGAGAGCGCTGGCGGCATAGTGAGTGATGTGCTCCACTCAGAATTACAGGTGGTGCTGTAAATCCACCACTTGCTATGTGGGAGAAAGGCGCCGTTCTCTGCTCTTTTAAAGATGTGTATAGCCTAGGAAATCCACCGTTCTACTCTGTCCTAAAGGATCCCTAGGGGCTGGAATCAATTCCATGGGAGTGAGTTTGCTTGTTTTCATATCTTAATATCGTAAGGTAGTCGAGAGGCACCAGAAATCAAATCAGTCGAATTAGAACAAACAAGCTTTATTAGGAAGAAAAAACTCAGCCTGGGCAAAGTCCCACAGTCCACAATGTCCGGGCAGGGGGAGTCGCGCCCCAGGCTACAAGGGTGGTGCTTATATGGCCAGGGAACATGTGACTGGGCTGTCTTGAGTCCATATAAGGTAAAGTAGTCAGGGATTGGGAGATACAGGTATGTCCCGGTTTCTGGAATGTAAGGTGTCTTCCTAGTTCGGGTATATTCATGCCGGGTGCAGAGTGGCGGCCGAGAACAAAGTGGGCACTGAGCCAAACGGGCTGTGCCGGGTGCAGAGCAGCAGGACAAGAATAAAGTGGGCCATTAGTAGGCCATTGGAGATCCCCTTGCAGAGGGGTCTCGGGGAGGAGATGAGCCAGTCAGGGTGCGATGTAACAATGATGAGAAATACAACTTTCGTCTAGTTCCTAAATGTTTCCTCCCCGCTCCCACTACCATGACTCAAATTCGATCTTGCAAGTCTGGCTAGACCAGAGGAGGTACACTGGTACAGATAGGAACTGAAAATCCAGGGAATCCAGGACGGATGAGCCCTATAGGACCAGTGGTGTGAGTGGCAAAACAGGGAGGGTAAAGGGAGAATGGGTAGGAAAGAGGGAACCGATTACATGGAACTGTGTGTGACCTCCTCCCTGGGGGACAGACAACCGATAAGTGGGTGAAGGGAGACGTCGGACAGGGCAAGATATGACCAAATACCCATTTATAAACTATCAAGGGCTCATGCCGGAGGGGGGAGCGGGGAGGGAGGGGAAAAATGAGGACCTAATGTCGGGGGTTTAAATGGAGAGAAAATGTTCTGAGAAACGATGTACAAATGCGCTTTACACAATTGATGTGTATATGGATTGGGATAACAGTTGTATGAGCCCCTAATAAAATGTTAAAAGAAAAACAAAACAAAACAAAAACAAAAACAATCAAGTGGGCCATTAGCCAGCTCTGGTCAGCTATGGGTGGGGGAGATTCAAGTCACTTGCTGCTAGAAGCCGGCCTGGTATCGCTCGGGCCATACAAACATTAAACAGATAATCTGACCAATTCTATTTTTGGAGTCCTCCACCGAGTACAAGGAATGCTGGTAAAGTGGTGGGTTACTTCGACCTGTTAACCAGCAAGGCAGTGATCCAAACTCACCAGCTGCTCTGGGTCTGATTTCTATTTTGGTTTATATTAAGTCAGCAGGGGGCAGTAAATGGTCTGCCTTTTTATGAGCTCTGAGCTAAGAATTTTGACATTTTTAAAGGTTGTAAAAAGAACAAAACACACCAAAAATAATATGCAACAGAGAGCTTACATAGCCAGCAAAGTCTACAATATTTACTATCTTTGTGTCTTATAAAACGTTTGCCAACACTTGGCACTAACGCACACCCACAAATTATACACACATGCACACACACACATTTAAATATTGGGATTTGCTTTATGACTACAAAAACCCAAAGTGTTATCATTAGAAGCATATTAAATTGGAGTGCATCTATATCATAAAGCATTATTCAGTCATTTAAAAAGAGGAGTCCTGCTTCTGCCCATGAAGAATGAACTAATCCTGGAAGTGTCATCCAATGTAAACTAGAAAACTTGACAAAATATAACAGCTTCCAGACAGTTGACACCAGTAAACATATTGCAAAATATAAGCCATTTTCTCTTACTTTTTAATCATCGTAAGAGATAATTAACTTTCTAATACAACAATGTACTATGGGGTCTATAGCATACATAGAGGTAAAATGTTTGACAATAACACAAAACATTAAGGAGAAAATGGAAGCAAGTCTTAATGAATTTTAAAGAATTCAAATCATATCAAAAATGTTCTCTTAAACCCCTCAGGCCAGTAATGAGAGTAGCGATACCAGGGGGGTAAGGGGAAGTGTGGGGGACAAAGGGGAGCTGATCACAATGATCGATATACAGCCTCCTCCCAGTGGTACGAACAACAGACAAGTAGAAGAAGGGAGACAGCAGTCGGAGTAAGACATAAAAAGAATAAATAATTTATATATTATCAAGGGTTCATGGGGTGGGGGAATGATGTGATACCATGGACTCAAGTAGAAAGAAAATGTTTTGAAAATGATGGGAACATATGAACAAATGTGCTTGACACAAAGGATGCATGTATGGATTGTGATAAGAGTGGTAAGAGCCCCAATAAAATGATTTTTAAAAAATGCTTTCTCAACAAACTAGAATTAAAGTAGAGAACTCCAAGCTCACTGCCCAGGAGTCAGTTCCTACTCATAGCAATCCTAGAGGGCAGAGTAGACCTGCCTCTGTGGGTTCCCGAGACTGTAACTCTTTTTAGGAACAGAAAGTCTCATCTTGTCCTACGGAATGGTTGGTGGCTAAGAACCTTTGTGGTTAACAATTGCTAATTACATAATCTGTTGGCAGTTTGAGACCTAAGAGAGTGAAGGGGTGGAGTTTGGCCTGTCAATCAAGTTGCAGCTTAATGGCCTCATTTGGAGGTGCAAAGGACATACATAGCTCACTGGAGGCAGGACACATGGAGCTGGAGGAGCCCTGGAGCTGGAGGAGACACATGCAGAACCCTGCCAGCACAGAGATGCTTACAATGCCACTGGATCCACAAGATTTTCCACCCACTGGCCTGTGATCCTGTCGTCCTGCATTCCGCATCATTTCATGTGTTTCGTGAGTGTAAAGCACATTTTTACATTCATTGCCCTCATCATTCTCAAAACATTTGCTCTCCACTTAAGCCTTTGGTATCAGCTCATTTCCCCGCCTCCATCCCTACTCCCCTCCTCCCTCATGAACCCTTGATAATTTATAAATTATTATTTTGTCATATCTTACACTGTCCGACATCTCCCTTCACCCACTTTTCT